TGCACTTGCATCAATAATGAAGGATGATGGGCTCAAGTCACTTTCTGTTCTATATAAGGTAGGCCATTATCTCATTATACCCATATAAATCACTGCCTATTGGTTTATACTCTCTGTAGATTTATCTTCGTCATATGTTGATGAAGTTTTTGGTCTTACATTATTTGTGATGTGCAGAGACTTGTTGATATGCTAGATGAGAAGTCACATTTACCTGCTGTACTACAATCTCTTGGATGTATTGCGCAGACTGCTATGCCAGTCTTTGAGACAAGGGAGAAAGAGATAGAGCAGTTCATAAAGAAAAACATATTGGAGCGTGGTCATGTATGTCTTCTTGAACTAATGCAAAAATTTGTCAACTGTTTACCTCTTCTTTTAGCATTCATCTAAAGGCAAATCATTCTTTTCAGACATCAGAAGGTAAAACCAAAGAAAGTTGGGAAGAACAGAGTGAGATCTGTTCACTGAAGGTCAGATTTCACTCGTTTATTATCTCCATTCCGATTTTCAGTATTATGACTAGATTCTGAAGGATAAATTGCAATTTTTATTCTATATTAATTTTCAGATATTTGGAATTAAGACACTGGTCAAAAGTTATTTGCCAGTGAAGGATGCCCACCTTCGCTTGGGGGTTGGTGACTTGTTGGGAATCCTGAAAAACATACTTTCTTTCGGGGAAATCTCAATGGAAATCAAGTCAAGGTAATGCTGCCGTGCAGGAATCACCATCTTTTGGTGGTTTTGACAATAGATGGATGTGCTTTGCTAGTGTGGTTCAAAGCTTTCTGACACAGGAGATCTGGCTTCACTTTCTCTTTTCTTTGGCATTTTGCAGTTCTGTTGATAAAGCCCATTTAAGACTTGCTGCAGCAAAAGCTATGCTTCGTCTATCAAAGCACTGGGACAACAAGATTCCCGTGGATATCTTTTACCTTACTCTGGGTACATCAGAGGTGAATTTTCTATCAGCTACAACCTCAAACAGATGACATTGCCCCCACTGATGTGCCACTCACGCAATTTTCAGCAATAGCTTTATAGAGACAAACTGTATGAATAATCATCTCTTTTAACTGTTAATGCTACTAGGCCCGTTTCCCTCAAGTAAAGAAGTTATTTCTCAACAAAGTTCACCAATACCTAAAGGATCGTTATTTGGACCCAAAGTACACTTGTGCATTCTTACTTGACTTGCAGTTTCAGCAGCCAGATTTTGAAGAGGTATGATTTGCGATTGCTGTATTGGCAGGTCTGTCTTGATTATATGTTTATACTTATTTGTTAATGATTTGTTATCTCCCAATTATTGACAGATCAAGAGCAATTTAAGTGATGTTATCCAGATCTATCAGCAGGGGAAGGCACGCCAACTTTCTGCGCAATCTGAACCTATGACCCCAGCTCCTTATCCAGAATATATTCTACCATACTTGGTCCATGCTCTTGCTCATCATTCTTCATTTCCTAACATTGACGAATGCAAGGATGTTAAAGCATTTGAATCTATTTATAGGTACAAGTGTTTCCTGGTCTTATTTATTGATGGTTACATGTATAGAAGTTTAAAGAGCCTGAGGATGCCTCACGCTTGCGTAATATTATTTCCAATTATTCTCATGATTAGATGAAACCTGTTATCAGCCCGCATTTCTTTAGATTCTGATCTTATCTGTATTTATTACGCTGTTTACAGTAAGCTCTTAGTACTTTACTTACTGAAATTATACATAGTGGACTCATCTAAGTGTAATGCTTATGTGGGTTATTTGGAGAGAAGAAACAGGAGATCTTTTGAAGGGGTATAGATGAATTTTGAGAAGTTGAGGTGTAGCCTTCTATCCCTTGTTTATTTTTGGTGCACCCATAATGTTCCTTGTCGTATAGAATATTGGGTGTCTTTTGCTAAAAACCATATACTTCTGTCGGTTTTTTATTTTTTGGCGTACTACTTGTATATGGGAACTTTTATTTTCGTCCAGATATTAATGAAGGTTATGTAGTGCTTGCTGTAAC